AGCTCAAGGCGAGCGCTCTACCACTTGAGCTACAGCGCCACTTCCGGTTTTCTGGTGGTTTATTGGAGATAGGAGTCTCACGGTCTTTCCTGCCCGGGCTGGCATTGAACCGCGATCCTCAGATCTCAGCCTCCTGAGTAGCTAGGATTACAGGCGTGAGCCACCAGCGCCCGGCTCCCTGAGCTTCTTTTGCTCAAGGCTAGCAGTCTACCACTTGAGCCACAGCACCACTTCTGGCTTTTTCTGTTTATGTGGTACTGAGGAATGGAACCCAGGGCTTCATGCATACTAGGCAAGCACTCTACCACTAAGCCACATTCCCAGCCCATAAGAGTATTCTTATCTTTCTAAAAATGGACTGAGCAGGCTATCTAGAAATATGACTTTTTCAAGTAATTCTCAGGCACCCTAAGTCTAACAATCATTCCTTCACACTCTATTTGCAGCAATCTGTCCTAAACTTGATTCTCTGAAATAAATCTGGAAATGTTTCCAATTTATCATCTTTAAGCACAAGAAGCTATCATCCTCAACCTCTCATCTAACATTATCTTGGCTTGCTATAAAGCTGACTTCCTTCAGTCTGTAACAGGTATCACCCACTTTACAATCATCACCCACCTGTCTCCTCTGTACTACCTGATTAAGTCCTATGGTCTCCACTTCTATTTCTCATATACTTGCTTTGCACTTACAATGATCTATCTCCAACTTCTGCCTATATAATGGCTAGTGTTTTCTTCCAGTAAGCTTTTGTCTGGCACTTACAACTATCAAAAAAAACTTGGTTTTCTGATGCTGTGTTGTTTCAGTAGTATCATCTGAATTCAGGGTCTGTACATTTTCCAGACAGACATTCTACAACTTGATCCATGCCTACAGCTATTTTTTGCTTTAGTTATTTTTAAAATATGATCCAATGTTTATGTCCAGGCTAAGCTGGATCACAATCCTCCTATTTACTTTCCCAACATAGCTGGAATGACAAGTACATGTCACCTGGATCCAACTTTTTATTGGTTGATAGGAGGGGAGAGAGGTGTCTTATGAATTTTGCCCAGGCTAGCCTTAAACTATGATCCTCCCGATCTCTACCTTCTGAATAGCTAGGATAATAGTCATGAACAACTGCAGCTGGCCCAATATTCTTTTTTATGTCGGTCTTGGGCTTGAACTTGGGCCTGGGAGCTGTTCCCGAGCTCTTTTTGCTCAAGGCTAGTGCTCTATCACTTTGAGCAACAGTGCCAGTTCAGAGCCAAGATACTTTTAAATATTTGTATGCCCTTCCTTTCCTTCCCAAATTCTGTTTCTTGAAATCTGAGTAATCACTTTATCCTTTAAAAGTTACTAATTAAGAGGCCTAATGCTACAAAATTTAAAGGAACTTACACTATATGTAATTTAATACTTCACTCATCAATTAAACACTTTTGGGGGGTGATAGTAGGGTCTGAAGTTGGCCTGTATTGCTAGGCAAGCACTCTACCACTTGAGACATGCCTCAGCCCTCAAACACATTTATAAGGACTACTATAACACTAGAAGTAAATATATTCTATAACCAAATTAAGTTTATTTTTTTACTGCAAACAGCCAACTTACATGTAAACACATTGCTTATCTTACAATAAGGCAAGTTTGGTATATGTACAACTGTGCTCAACTTTACCTTGCTCATGTTCTAACAGTTGTAGAGCTTCAACTCCATTACTCCCAGAAGGTCCTGCTCCAAGTTCTGACACAGACTCTCCTTCCAGGTCTAGAGAAGACACCGAATTGGAGCGATTTGAAGGACCTAGAGAAATGTTTATTCCATGAGCAATCTTTTAAAAAAATCACCTATAAGCCACAATACCATTTTTCCTGCCTTGGAGAGATACTATAAACTGATTAAAAAGTCTTTGGGACATGTTTTGGGAGTAGGCAAAGGAGAGCAAAGGAATCGAGGATGAACAAATGTAGTAGTTATATACAATCCACATTATATAAAAAGTTAACTAGGTAATTTAAAGGTAGGGACAAGAGGGAGAAAATGGGAGAGAATGAAGGAAGCGGGTGACACTGACCAAGAAGCATTGTACTCATAACCTGACTTATGGAATTGTAACACCTTTGTATAACTACATATAATAATGAAATAAAGTTCTTTTGGATTTTTTTTTCTATTTTGAACTCTTACCCTTAAGCTTATGAGAAAAGCACTCTTACTGTGAAGCCACACCTCTAGCCCTAACTTGTTTGCTCATTATTTCTGAGATAAGGTCACCTTTCCTGCTCAGGGGTGCACCTTGGTATGATCCACCACCTCTGTTAGGCTTTTTGTTTTTTGTTTTTTGGGTCCGGTTGTGGGGCCTGAACTCTGGGCCTGGGCGCTGTCCCTCAGCTCTTCAGCTCAAGGCTAGCGTTCTACCACTTGAGCCACAGCGCCACTTCCGGCTTTTTTCTTTTTTCTTATGTGGTGCTGAGGAATCGAACCCAGGGCCTTGAGCATGCAAGGCAAGCGCTCTACCACTGAGCCACCTTCCCAGCCCTCTGTTAGGCTTTTTGGTAGCTAGGATAACAAGCAAGTGCCGCTGTATCCAGTTCTTTGTTGAGAAGGGGTTTTCTTATGAACCTTTTTATGCCCAGACTGGCCTGACACTGTGACCCAATAATCTCCACCTTCTCAAAATTTAGGATTAAAGCTGTGAATCACCAGCATTCAGGGTTTTGGGGATTTTTTTTTTTTTTTGAGATGGGATCTTGCTATGTAGCCTAACCAAGTCTTGAACCAAAGATTCTTCTGTTGTAGCCTCCTATGTACTGGGATTACAGGTGTGCACAACCACTTTTTCAATTTAAAAGTGCTTTCAATACTAAATTTATGCCTTAAAAATATACATGCCCTGGCCAGGTGCTAGTGGCTCATACCTGTAATCCTAGCTACTCAGGACCCTGAGAGTTGAGGACCGTGGAGGACCGTGGTTTTGAATCCAGCCTGGGCAAGAAAGTCAGTGAGACTCTTATCTCCAATTAATCCTGAGAAGATTGGAAGTGGAGCTGTGGCTCAAAGTGGCAAAGCACTAGCCTTGAGCAAAAACACTGAGGGACAGCGCCCAAGCCAGAGTTCAAGCCCCACAAAACACACACACACACACACAGCAATTCACACACACACACACACAGCAATTCACACACACACACACACAGCAATTCTGAGACAGCAATTCTGCTTCTAGAAATGTATCCTAGATAACAAAAATTAATGTAAGACTATTGTAGAACTTTTTAAGTATTATAAATATCTAAAAAGTAGAAGCAATCTACCTATTTATCACAGAAGAATGTTAAAATAGCTGAACACTGGTGGCTTATGCCTGTAATCCTAGCCACACAGGAGGCTGAGATCTGAGGATAGTGGTTCAAAGCCATCCCAGGCAGGGAAGACTGTGAAACTGATCTCTAATAAACTACCAAGAAAGTCAGAAGTGGAGTTGTGGCTCAAGAGATAGAGCATTAGCCTTGAGCAAAAGCAGCTCAGGGACAGAGTCCAGGCCTCAAGACCAACAAGCACAAAACAAAACAAAAAAAAGAATGTTAAAATCAATTGATATGCCTATTCCAAGTTAAAGAAAATTGGGAAGGTGGTTTAGTGACAGAAGGCTTGCCTACCATGAATGAAGCCCTGGGTTCGATTCCTTAGTACTATATAAACAGAAAAAGCTGGAAGCAGTGCTGTAGCTCAAGTGGTAGAGTGCTAGCTTTTAGCAAAAGAAACTCAGGGACAGTGTCCAGGCCTTGAGCTCAAGCGGCATGACTGACAAATAAAAACAAAACAAAACAAAAACGTTATTTTCTTGGTACTGGTGGCTCACATCCTAACTATTAGGAGGCTAGGCTGAGAATCATAGTTCAGAGCCAGCCTGTAAGACTCTTTATCTTCAATGAACCACCAAAAAGCTGGAAGCTGACCTCTGCCTCAGGTGGTAAGACAAAAGCTTTGAGAAAAAAGCTAGAGGACAGTGCTCAGGCCCCAGTAGTGGCATAGAAACACAAAACCATGTTACTTAAAAATGTAAAACTAGCCAGGCACCAGTGGCTCATGCCTGTAATCCTAGCTACTCAGGAGGCTGAGATCTGAGGATCATAGTTCAAAGCCAGCCCGGGCAGGAAAGTCCATGAGACTCTTTTTTTTTTTTTTTTTTAAATTTTTATTTATTTTTTTTTGTGAAAATACTGTACAGAGGGGTTACAATTACAGGGGCAAGAAAATGAGTACATTTCTTATCAAGCATTGTAGCCTCCTCCTTTGTTTCCCCTTCCCATCCCTCCATGAGACTCTTATCTCCAATTAACCACCAGTATACCAGAAGTGGTGCTGTGGCTCAAGTGGTAGAGCGTTTGCCTTGAGCTGAAGAGCGCAGGGACAGTGCCCAAGCCTAGAGTTCAAGCTCCAT